TCTGAGTAAATAGCAAATGTCATCGTTTGTAGCCGAAATAAAATCGTGAAACGTAGTGGACTAAAGAACCGAGTCTTTCATTGCTGATGGTGTAGGTGCTCATCTGGTGCTTTATAAAATACATGTAGTACCCCATTAAATATGATCCTTAAAAATAAGAAAGAAAAACATTCCTAGATCTCTAAAAACCTTATTGAATTTGAAATCGTGGTAGTGTGAAAACTAATTGCTGAAAAAAATCAAGAAAACATTATCTGGAGCTCTGGCTGATGATTCGAAGGTATGTTCAGCAGGAGATATGTATGAACATATTAACAATATAAGACAATGTGCTTCATTTCATGGTCAAAATGACCTGTTGATAGTATTATGAGCGTATATCACATTTGTACACACATTTTTACTCAAAAACAAACACATAATTTAATGACTTTTTTTTTTAAAAAAAGGCATAAATTTAATTATGAAACTCTAATACATACATATTATTGTACAGTTTTTGTTTTTATATAAAAAAGATGTTATTATATCTATGACTTGTAATATAAAAAAAGTCTCGAATTTTACAGAATTCTATTGAGAGACCACTTTATTGAGAGACCACTTTATCAAGAGACCACTTTTGGCAGTCCCGTGAGTGGTCTCTTAATACAAAGTTGACTGTATTTAGTGTAATAAAGTTAACATTTTTTTCAGACAAATGGCATCTAAAAAATGTTCGGCCAAAACTCATGTTGATTTATTTGGTGAAGACGGCGCCCCTGTACCAGTTCCAGTACATAATATCACTTCTAGTAAAAAGTTAAAGAAGGGACCTTTTAAATATTTAAAAGAAAATGGTTCCTTGCAAACGTATCATCAATTTGTATGTGGAGAATGCTACGGAAAAGCGTTAAATGAAAGCACTACGGAAAACTACCTTCGAAGAATTGTGTAAGTTAATAAGGGAAAATGAAATTACACATGAACAATTTATTGAGTTGTCTTATTGAGCCGCCTTTCCTTGTTGATCTTGTTTTTCATATTTTTTACTCATACGGTGTTCTGTTGAGATCAAAATTACTTGGAATTGAAAACACTTTGTCTCTGGATAATATCGTGTCCTGTTCAGAAAGCCATACGTATAATGAAGGCTTGAGAAAATTGCTTTTTGCAATAGCTGGTGACAGTGAAAATTGTGTATTAAAAAATACTGCTGAACATATTGTAATATAGATAAATACAGAATCCCTAAAGAAAGCCCAACACGGCAAAATTGAAAATGTTGCAGGCTCGGTTTGATTGAGCCTGTTCATGGACGGTACTGGAAAGTGCAAGTTACCGTCCACGCCCCCTAGCACCGGCTTAAGCAGAATTCAACATTTAAACATGAAATGGTGAAATTTTGAATTTAGAAACATCCGCAGATGTGTTAGACTTGCTAACCAAAATTATATAGGTCCTATAAATTTCGGCAAACATATAATTTCTTTTCTTAGTTCAGAAAGTAGGAATTTGATAGTGTTAAACAATTTTTACTCTTCATCAGGTTCATATACCACCGTTCTTGATTTCTTGAAAAATGCTGCAATATCAGATGCTTTCATTCCGCAAGAAGACTGTATTTACTTCTTCGACAATAATCAAATCATGGCACGTAGCTGGAAAGTCAAATATGATCATAAACCGCTGATAAGCGTTATCACGACTGTAGTGTGTCTTGTTCCACCTACGAAAAGCTATCATCATATTTTCATGGGGTCTACCAAAATGTTTGTGAGGGGCCTGTTAATCTAATTGATCTACATTCCGATCTATTTCGAGGAAATAGAAACGAGTTTTTAAGTTCACTCATATACGTTGATAATCATGAAACACCAACAGTTAAAAAAGGAAAGTTTCCATCAAAGACAATGTTATTGTAACAGACGAAAGAGTTGTTGATGATCCTTATGAATCTATCCCTTCAAATGTGCAGGGAAAAAACTGAAGTTAAAGTGCTAAACCCGATTTTTGTCAACCCGTGTTCATACCAAGCTGTGGTAGAAGTATTGGACACTGTTGTTAGATGTAATAACAAACGCTGGGTAGTTATTGGCTGTGATGGTTTGCCATTCAAGTTGTGTTCAAAAATTATAGAAAATTATTTTGAATCCCCACATTGCTATGAATTATTTACGAAAAAAAGTAATTTCCATACACATGCCAACACTTTTAATGTAAATGGAGATTTAGACATTCATAGAAAATATAAAAATGTTTAACTTATTCCTGGTTTTGGTCATATAGACATTAATGTGACAAAGGGACTTTTTAAACTTATATGTACCACGTATTAAATACCTCTGGCAGTTTTGTTAGGTTGGAAATCCATCAAAGCACTAGCCGCTTGTGAAAACTGCACTGACCATCACAAAGCCACACAAATCCTCAATATTTTTTTTGATGCAGCGACTAAACAACTTCTTTACTTATTTCTGAAATCTAATCCTGAGAACAAAACTGTTTCAGAATTTTACAAATTTGCTGACAAAAAGAACAAAAATTACAAATGTTTACTTTCATTCACATTCACGTTTTTACTGGCATGGAAACTGCTAAAATCACGCATGAGGAGAAGTAATTTTAGATATATCCAAATGTGCATGGAAAAATTATCTACAATCTTTTATGGAACCAATATGACCAACTACATGGACATCTGGGTAAGATTTGACAAAATTATGCAAACCCTACCTGAACAGGCAAGAGCGTTTATAGAAGAAGACCTAACTATGTCGCAGTCAGGACATGGAAGTAAGGCCGAAGGAGGTGCCTTCATTCTAGAAAGCGCTAATGAGAAAATGAAGGCCTACATGCCGGCCGGAGTTCCGACTGAAGAATGTTTGGCCAGGGTTTGCAAGAATTTAGATGCTATAGAAAGGTACATACATGTTAAGTAATAAATATAAAAATAATCTGAAAACAGGTCATTTGGAAGCACAGAATGCAACCACAGCAAAATAATAGCAGACCTGGTTTGATTAAGTCTGTTCATGAGTGGTAATGAAAAGTGCAGCACCACTCACGCCCCCTAGCACCGGCTAAAATCATACGTGGCTGAATGTACAACTATCATATTTCCATGTATTTTTTAAATACATTTACATCAATTCAGGCGAATTAAAGAAAACGCATTTCATTTACATGTTTACATTTGTATTGCATCTGTATCTAAAGTGTTGACATTTGTATGGAAATTACCTTTTTAGTTTTATTTGAATAAAGAATACATGTAGAGAAAGCCAGGATGTATAAAGTTTAAAATACAGTAAATTATGCTCATCAGACCACTTCTATTAAGAGACGAAATATCTTAATAGACCATCATTTTGTACCCAATTGTTAAGCTTATGTACAAATTGAATTATATTAAGACATCATTGTGTTAAGATACCATTTATGGCTTCCCTTGGCCTTTAATTACAGGTTACACTGTATCTATGATTCAGTTGTACACTTAAAAACATGATATTATCATCGTTATAGATAAAGTACAGCATGGTTGGTGAGAACGGAGATGCTGATGTACCAACACCAAACAAGTATTTTCGGTATGTAACATTAAAACAAATAGTTCTTATTATTTTAAGCATAATAATTTTGAAACTAAATCCTAAAACATATCTATTAAATTGTAGCCATACATGATGTTATTAAAATAAATATATTCCTGTCTTTAACTAGGACATTCAATGATGACATGGCGGTGCAGGAATATGGTAAGATCTTGTTGGAGTACCTTTCTTCCAAACCCGACTCGACAACTGTGAATCGTCAACGTCTTGACGATGATTTCGTTAATTTTGAATCGAAGTGCAGACAAAACAAGGCTGTGTACTATGCAGCATATCCCAATGTTACAAGGTTTGATTTAACAAATATTTTATATGTTAACATGTACATGATATGTCCATATGACGCAAGACCGGCTTTTATCATACATAAAAAATGTCATAATATAAAATAAATCAAATAAATGATACATAATTAAATACTACATATGGAGAATTCTAAAGTAATCGTAGAAAATATAACAATACTTCAACTTTATATTATGTAATTATCATTCCATTATCATTATGTAATTATCATTTAAGTTATTTGTAAGTCCTACAAGAGCCATCACTGTGTAGAAAAATATTTAAAGCATAACCGTCCCTTTTTAAGTTGAATTATCTTTGGATATTAAGCGTATATTCCAAAGACCTTGCTGCGACAATATCTCGATTTTTATTCTGAAATTCGAACTAAGAATAATTATTTGTTTGTGTGTGAGGAAAATGTTTTTACTCTTTCAGAATTTGCGAGAAAGTGTTTATTACACCGGCGGACAGGGCAGCGCATTATGACATAAACAATAAAAGCAAAGCTGATCTGCAGTCCATTATAAAATCTTTGTTACAGGTGATGTCTTATTTTTGTTATTGTTATTTATGTTAGTTTGCCGAGTGTCTTTAAATTGTAAACTACACATCAAGAGTAAGTAATTTAAACAAGTACAAGTGCACTTACTTACTTTCTTTAAATATGATAATGAATTATTACCGTCTCTTACAGGAAATAAGAAGCCATGGTGGACACGAAGAGGCAGAGTATATATCAAAGCAATGGGCGAAGAAGCTGAGGTGTGGAACGAAGAATGTCTTGCTCACAGTATATCAAGAATTATGTCAGTGTCTGGAAGAAGTCGCTTCAAGGGAACAAACATTGGGTAAACTAAAATAATGTATTGAACAACTTTTTCAATTATGAATTATGCTAGAAGCATATATTTATTTCCTGTGGACAGGGCATAAATACGGCGGCATATTTGCGACAAATTTAGCTGTAAGTTTAGCGTTGTCTTGCCCAAACAAGCACTTGGCATGGATCCACATATCGCAGTCGTCTATTCCATTTGTTGAGTGCGAGCACTTCTTCTTCTCTTGTTTGGTGTCGTCATCTGACACACGCGGCAGCGCCGTTCACTGCCAAATATGAATGGTAAACTGTCCTCTGTGCTGGCTTGCACGCGATACTCACGAGTGCCGCACTTGTAGTTGTTTGTATTTGCGATGACAGCTCTTGGGGACAGTAGCTTATCATCACATGCACTGCTGGGTCAAGGCTTTTCGCTTGGGTTTAATGTTACCTGAAAAAATGTAGCTCAAATAGGTGGAATTGCTTAGATGACTATTATCTCATACGAAGCTTTAATGTCAATCATTGTTGCTGTTTAATTTAATTGTATTATGTACAGATAACATTGTTTTCTATGACAATAATTTACATATGATAATGAATTAATACCGTCCCTCACATAAGATACGTATTTGTACAGATAATATTAGCAGTTGATTATAACGTCACTATTTATATATGTTCAAAGTATTTATTTTAAAATAAAAAAAAACCATATGCCGAACGCATATGATTTCAGAGAGTGACTCAGAAAGCCAAGAAGACGGTACGACAGTGGCGCCGCAGGAGGAGTTACAACTTCCCCAGTCTGATCATCCCTCACAAGGCCGTCTTCTCTTGCGCTGAAGGCAACGTCCTTCACCTTTACCTCCACATCATCCCCAGTCATTGTTGCATATTCAATAGCCTATACGATATATGTACACTAATTACATGTATTACAGTAAGTTATTTTTACAAATATTATTTGCAGTTTCAAAGATTATCGATTATGACAATAGGAAGATAATGAAATGGTGATCGATTATTGATGCTAGATTACATCTTTGGAGGATGCATTTTAATCGAAAAAACATAGAAGTCACGTTTGCGATAAGTGTCCACATTTTATAACAAAAAGATAATATTTTACTTTTACATGTACCAGTATTCTGTCTGTAACAACAACAACTATACCAGTAAACATGCTATAAATGTTAAAACAAGGAAAAAGCAGATCGTGGATGTTAAAAAATATCTTTGATTTTTATCTGAAAACATAATCGAATAATAATCGATGATTTATTGAAAAAGTATTTCCGTTTATTTTTTATAGTTCATTATGAATATAGACTAGAAATATGGTGACACCTTTGTTATACTAATTTGTTTAATTAATAGTATAATTTTCTACATTGGATTATTTGTACATAACGGGTTATACATTAACCTGGTTGCCTTTTTGAAAAGATTTCTCTTTCTCGTGCATCGTACATACTGGCGTTTTTTTCTGTCTTTTATGTGCTCTACCAGGACCTGGCCTGACCTCCTCTTTGTCATGGCTTTCGCTGGCACCTCTTTTTTGTGGGCTGTTTGCTTAGCCGGTTGTTTGCTGTACTTCGTTGTCGTCTGATTAACACACAGAAACAATACCTATGTTATTTGTGATTTTGAACATTCCACGAACGTTAAATATAATAATTCTGAACATTTTTAGCTCGACTATACGAAGTATATGGAGAGCTGTCCTACTCGCCCCGGCGTCGGCGTCCGCGTCCAGATTTTAGATTAAAGTTTTAGTGCAGTAAAATATTTTTCACTATAACTTTGTCATTTCTTAAAGTATCAACTTCAAATATGTGTTCCTTATCATCAACCACATCTTATGTGACAAGGTTCATAACTCTAGCACCAATATTTTCAGATTTATCTCCCCTTGAACTTAGAATTTTCCTCAAAAAATACTATTTCCTACTGTTTCTTCTTTATTTCTTAAGGGATCAACCTCATACTTCAAATATATTTACGTTATCATCATCCCCATCTTATGTGACAACGTTCATAACTCTAGCACCAATATTTTCAGATTTATCTCCCTTTGAACTTAGAATTTTCCATAAAAATATTATTTTTTACTGTTACTTATTTATTTCTAAAGGGATCAACTTTATACTTCAAATATATTTACGTTATCATCATCCATATCTTATGTGACAAGGTTCATAACTCTAGCACCAATATTGCAAGAATTATCTCCCCATAAACTTAGATTTTTTTACTAGAAAAATGTTATTTTTTATTATAACTTTTTTATTTTTAAAGGTATCTACCTCTAACTTCAAATACTTATTCCTTATCATCAATTACATTTTATGTGACAATGTTCATAACTCTTGAAGCAATATTTACAGATTTATCTCTCTTTGAACTTAGGATTTTCTTTAAGAAATATAATAACTTCTTTACTTTTTAAGGTATCTACTTCAAACTTCAAATATATATTCAAACCTTTTCCACGGGGAAATAGTGCAGTCCATGACTGACAGATTTGTATTTTTACACATGATCGAATTTGTATAAACACAAATAATTTGTAATTTTACAAATTATTTGTAAATTTACCAGTTTCCTAGACCTGATTATCTTCATGAGCTCAGTTCTACTTTGTTCAATTTCACATGAATTTATGTTCATTTCTGACTGGCTTTTTTTAACAAATGTAAGTATGATGTAGTTTTTTTTCTCATTTCAAGTCACGTTTAATATGGAAACAGCAAAGTGTCCTATCTGTTATGAGCACACTCGGGACAGCTTCATAATTCCTTGTGGGCACACCCTTTGTGCAGTATGTGGGTTTACACAGGAGGGAGACGGGTCATTATGACCTTTCTGTCTAGGGCCAATTCCAGGAGTCGGCAACATACGCAACTAACCTGATCATTGACATAATTGGGATAGAAAGACATTTGAAGGAGTTTCCACGTAAAGATACAAGCAGAATGAGAACTACTGACTCGAGCCAATTTCATTGAACGTTTTCGGATATATGACTTTCAGAGTTGTATCAAATATGATAAACAAGATCAACAAGGAAAGGCGGCGTTCAATGAACGCAACCCCAATATGACCCAGCAACAAGAACCAATGGCAAGGAGCCCAGGCGGACCCCAAACAAAAACAGGACAGGGCAAGCGAGCCACGGACAGGTTAAACAATTAAATGATAAATAAGTTAATTAGATTCAAAGAAATAAAAAGCCAAGGGATCAAGGCACGTGAGACCGGGGGATGGGGTTAATCAAGAAATAAAATCTGAGGCAATGGGAGAGATACTTTACCGTAGACGAGAAAAAAACAAGGGACACAAGCAAAAGTGTCACCAAAACAGTATGAAACAACCTAGACATACATCTGGGAACAGAGTGGGGCGCCGCCTTGGAACGGTCAGCAGCATAATTATGACTGCTGGGGAGTTGAAACCGGTTAATGGTGCACCAAACCTCGCTCTTAGCCCCACCATGTTCCTATAAACGAGAAGTTAATCCAAATTCTGACAATCAAACACTCTTAAAAAGAAACATCGACGCATGCATATTGTTCTATGCATACAAACTATCATTGCTTTCAGCTTGAGTTTTGGCAGTTACAGACTTTATTTCAAATTTTAAGTATTAAAAAAAGCACGAGTAGCAGAAACTCTTACCATTTCAATATAGGAAACTTGTTACTTTGTGAAACTGAAACTGTTCTATTTAATTAAACGCCTATTTCTATATACATATTCAATGGCGTTGTACAAAGGGATAATAAAAGTATGTACATATAGATAAAAAAAACAACACATATGCATGGCAAATGAACAACAAAAAATATGTTAAAGATATCAGCCGTGTAAAATATAAAGTATTAAAAACTTTAAAAAAGAAAGAATAGTTATAAAAAAATAACAATAAAAAATAATTTAAAAGAAAATAAAAATGAATGGTTATTTCAGTACAATTTCAAACACATTTCCACATCTCCATCAGTTTACAGCCCAATCACAATCTTAAAACAATGAGTAAAAATAGTAGGTTTTGACATTTTTCTTGAACATGTCCAAAGTCGAAGACTGTCTTATTTACAGAGGCAATTTATTCCAGAGAGTTGGACCAACGGTAATAAAACTTCTGTCGTTAAATGTTTTCCTTTTGTTAAAGGGGACAGCAAAACAATAATCCATATTATCAACAGATCTGAGATTTGGTCTTTTAATGACAGGCTTGTGTAACAGTTCTGTTAGATAAACCGGAGCATTGCCCATAAAACAGTTATACATTGTACATAGTATTTTTAAAATTGATCCTAGCTTTAATTGGTAACCAATGCAGTTCCAACAAAGAGTCTTTGGAACTATCATATTTTCCGCGTTGCAAAACAAGTTTAGCGCACATATTCTGGATACGCTGTAATTTCTGTAACTCACTTTCTGAAATGCCAAACAATATAGCGTTGCAATAATCCAAATGTGAGATTACAAGCGACAATACTAGGATTTTTGTGGCGTCCTGAGTCAGATATTTGCGAATGCTCTTTATTCTCAAATAATTTAACATAGCAGTTCTACACTTGGTCTTAACATGTGTTGAGAATCTTAGGCCCTCGTCTAAGTAGGCACCTAAGTATCTTATGACACTGACATTTTGAATTTTATCACCGGCGATATCAATTTCTTTAATTGAACATTTACCAAGTTGGGCTTTACTACCAAACATAATGAATTCTGTCTTAGTGGTGTTCATTTTGAGTTTATTGGCATTCATCCAGTCATTGATGATTACAGCACTGTCTTCAAGTTGCTTTATAGCGTTAAGTTCATTGGTCACTGAAGTTGGTCGAAAGCGTTGACTAGCAGTGTGGTCATCAGCAAAGCCGTACACAGATATGGATGGTGGTATCACATCAAATAGGGTTCCCGCATATGTGAGATAGAGCCACGGACCAAGACAGCTCCCCTGAGGTACACTGCATTCCAGCAATCGTGGAGTCGATTCAGTAGAATTAACACTGACGCGACAACTACGAGGTCGCAGGTACGAGTCCACCCAAGCTAACACGGTACCATTGACACCGTACTGACTGTGTAACACGTCGAGTAGAATGTTGTGGTCAACGGTGTCGAAAGCTGCACTTAGATATATTGCAATTAGAGCTGTGACCTCTTGCTTCTCCATACCGTCTAGAAGATCATTGACAAGTCTGAGTAAAGCAGTCTCACATGAATGATGACGCCTGTATGCTGATTGATTTTTGGGTAACAAATTATGGGCATCGACAAGGTTATTTAGTCTGAAGAGCGCAGCCTTTTCTATCAATTTTGAAAGAAACGATAAGTTACTGACAGGCCTGTAGTTTGACAATTGTAATTCTAAACCAGACTTCTTAAGAAGGGGTCTAACGATCGCCTGTTTCCAGTGTGTTGGAAATACGCCTTTAGACAGAGATAGATTGACCAGTTTGGTAATGGTTGGCAGAAGCTCATCTAGATGTGACTTTAATATATGTGTGGGTATTAAGTCCAGCTCACACGATTTGGTATTTAGTTCACAAATAAGGCTCTTCACCTGTGTTTCTGTAAGATCCTCGAAATTTTCTAAAGGTTGAATTTGTTTGACATTTGGAATGAAGCTTGGAAAATCCTGAAGTGATTTACGAATTTTAGCTATTTTGTCCATAAAAAAGTCTGCAAACTTCTCAGCTAGCTCACCGTCATTTGTAGACTGTGGCATAGGATTTTCAGCTTAAGTACCAGTTAATTCCGAAATTAAACCATAGAGTTTTTTTGAATCACCTTTGGCATTTAGAATTTTCTCACTTATAACTAGTTTTTTCTTAGAATCAATTTCTTTACAGTATCTATTCCGTGCTTCTTTAAATTTCTTGAACTGTTCTGGCTCTTTGTACTTTCTCCAAATTTTCTCTTTTTTCCGGACAATACGCTTAGATTCCAATATTGACTCATTGAACCAAGGTTTTTGAGTTCTGCATATCCTAGTTTGTTCCCTTGTTGGAGCATGTTTGTCGATAACAGATTGGATTTCTGATTCAAACAAGTTTACAAAAGTATTGACATCTTCACTATCAACTGAAATCTTCGTTAAATCATCAGAGAATTCAGAATGGGATATGCTTTTCCAGTTTCTAAATTGTACAGTTTTACTGGTAATGTTTTCTTTCTTCACATTAATGACTACGTGGACAGCACAGTGATCGGAGAAAAAAGGTCCTTGTTCACATTTAAGTACACATACACCATTAATCGATTCAGTGATAACCAAGTCTAAACAGTTTCCAGCAGTGTGTGTACTAAAGTTGACATGTTGCTCTAAACCCATAGCATGAAGGCAATTTTGAAAGTTTGTAGATGCACCACTACCATTGTCAAGGTGAAGGTTGAAGTCTCCCATAATCAACAAGTTAGAGTATGTAGGTACGATATCTTCTATGAAATTTGAAAAGTCAGTTACAAATTGCTCACATGTGGCTAGGGATGGGGGTCTGTATAAACCAACTACGTGTACTGTTATACTTTTGAAAATGAGTTTCCATATGCCAAACTCAAAACTTTGTTTGTTCCCATGTTCCATCTTTCTCATTTTAATTTCGGTTTTACAAGTCAAAGCAACACCGCCACCAATTTTGTTCTTGCGGTTTGCAACACTGATTTTGTAACCGTGTTGATTGAGATCAGACGTTTCATACTGATGTTGTTTTTCGTCAGAATACCATGTTTCAGTCAACAAAGCAAAGTCAATTCTTTGTTCCCTCAAATACTGGCCAACAAAATTATCCTTGTTAACAACAGATCTACAGTTAAGTGTAAAACATGACACTTTTTCACTAATTTGAACACGCGTGTTTTGTATTAAGGGATATTTCAAATTGTGTAGGTTTGCACAAGAAGGCTTAGTCAGGATTTTAGCTTTACCACCACGTTTGCTCCTTTTGTGTGTTTTGGGTTGAGAGATGTTCAGCTTATGTATAACACCGTGTACACAATGGTCTAATTTATGAAGATGTGTTTAACGCTTTGTTTGAAACTTAAAATTGATGTAGAGCTTACGCAGATGAAATGCTGTTATTAAAAATCATAACTCTTAATACGGCATTATTTGCGTTGGTTGTGCAGTTGCTAAAAAGGTGCAGTAATGTTTTTGCTTTAAAGGTGATTGCAGGAAGCCGAGATTATAATAATGTTGGTAATAGCACAGTTAAAGATATTTTGTTACAGATGTTTGAAGATGTTACTTTTACTTTTTTAAGATGTTTGTATTCAAGCTACTTGTTTTGTTATGGCCTAATAATTATTTTCACAATGATAATTTTACATAGAGTTTTCCTTATTAATTCTTCAATGTCAGCTGGAAAATGTGCCTTTTTAAATATTTTAAATCTGACAACCAGTTAAAAAAAATTCCATTCATTTGCCCAAAAAGGTTATTTTGTGTTACACAAATTAGCATCTAATTTCACCGATGTTTACTTATTATATATAAATATACTATTTTTACATTCTTCTGAATTAAATGATAAAAGTTTACTAGCCTTCAAAACATTTTATTGGCCTTAAAATGGTATTTACAATATATATCATGCTACAAA